AAGTCCAAGACTAACTAACTCCCTTCCATGTCCCAACAGCATAAAGTATAAAGCATAATAGATCCATAGAGCTGTCAGAGGCATGTGGTCCTCACACAAGCTGTGTACTCATTTACCCTTCACCGTTCTTATCAAGAAATATAATCAAACTGCCTATCTGTATTGAAAAGTAAAGATTATATGGAATTATATTTCTTTTTGTACATCAGTGGAAAAATCAGGAGTCAAGTAGTATTTCTGCAGTGGGACTGTGTTGAATTTCCTAAAATAAAATGTAAAGAATACATAGTGCTGAGTCCATGCATGCTTCTGGGTCCATTTAATTTGTAATTAATTCCAGCATAACTCGATCAAGTTTTCAGTCAAACATCTCTGTGGCGTTTTTAGCTGGCTTGTCATATGCTCCAGTGAGATCAGTGGGGCTCTTTGGTTTAGATTGCTGTGAGGGAATTCAATCACTCACCAGTCAGCATGAACTGATAGGCATTGTCAGAGATGGAGAAGATGTGTGGAGGGGCCTCCTGGCGCTTCTTGCCTCGGTAGGCCAACACCACCTCCGGGTTGTACACCGGCAGCCACTTGTAGGGGTTGACAGTGACGCAGAAGAGACCCGAGTAGGTCTGTGAGGAAGGGAGACAGCACGTTGGCTTCCACCTACCCTGGCAGAGCAGTTCCTCCTCGCTGCCCAGGGGAAGACTGCTGCTGGTACTTACGTAGATCATCCAGGCTGCGTAACGCTCTTTGAGGTTGTACAGCACAGCGGGTTCGTGGAGGTGGGTCATCATGGCCATGTCCTCGATTTTATCGTACTTGGGAGGGTTCATGGAGAAGATCTGATCATCCTTCACGGTCAGGGTCTGCCAAAGAAAAGAAAGACATGTATTTGCTATTTAAAAGTCTGCAGCAGGATTAAATTGTATTCTCAAGCTTTGCATTTTTTTTACTCACCTCTCCACCTTCGGTCTTGACAGTGACCTTTCCTGATTCTTTGCTCTGGATTGTGCTTTTCACATAGGATTCCTTTGCATGTACCACAAAGACCGATGACTTGGCATCAAAAGGCTTGTTCTGGGCCTCGATTCTCTCCTTTTCTGACTTTCGGAGGTAGGGAGCTGCCTCCCCAAAGGCAGCCATCTCAGAGTCTGACGACATGGCTGTCGTTTACTAGGGGCAGTGCAGCAAGTATCTATCAGGGTGGAAAATACATTACAGGAGAGCATGATGGAAGATACACTCCTACAGTATAGTGGATTTGATAGTGCTCTGTTGTATGTATCAACTAATTTAATTGTCTCTTTCATATTTCTGCTAATTCAGAGGTCCCTTCTATAATTTTTCTGTCTTTATTTCTGTTTTATGTGGTCAGATCTCTAGGTCTACCGGACAACTGCATCTACAGAGGAATGCCTTCCGTGGTTTGGCTGTGGGTTTTTTTCCATTTGTTGAATTAACAGCATAAACTGATCCTTTCCAAGGTTCCAAACATTTCACTCACTAAATATTCCCAATTTTGAAATTGTGAAAGCCTTCTTGTATCTTTTTGTTTTAGCACCTTTCATAATATGAAATTTGTTTACAATAAAACACTGGAAGATGCACAGGACACTGGATATGCAGAGAGTTAATATTGTTCTCATTTCTTGTAAAAGACATTCCCTTGGGATTGAATAGTCCACATTGTCAAATATTTCAATTATTTCACAGATCCATCTGCTAACAAATAAAGCTGATTGATATTCTCCTCTTTGAACTTTTTCATAGAAGAAACCAATTAATCTTGTATCCATTCACTACTTTATCAGTTACTTATCAGCAATCCTGTTTATTATTGCCAAACAATACTCTTGACTGAAAAGTTTCAGACAATTGTGAAGCTGGAAAGCTGGAATTTAGATGTATTGTTCCAAAAGTATCCTTTTTTTTTAGTCTTATTTATCTATGTTTATCACCTGCATTTTGAGTATCTTTTCTGAATAAAGAAGCTCATTACTCTATCAATACTTTCACCTATGACAGACCTCTATGTGGAAATCATATAATTACTTAACTTTTTCTTGAGAAACAGTTGAATTTGATTGCAGGAAGGATATTCTGTATTTAGAATATTTTTTAAAACTCTCTTCTGAACATCCACCATTTAGCAACCTCATTATTGCAGTATGGCCAGACTAACAGAGACAATATTTTAATAAACATCACAATATTTTTATACATTATAAAGCTCGTTCCACTCAGTATTCCACTGCTTACACATGAAAAAAATTGCTTTGCCTTCTTAGCCAACAAGGACATACTTCATAACACAACTTAGTGTTATCAACTTAAATGCATGGGTACAATCTCTGACTGATGGTTTTGTTTCAAACTACATGATTTTCCACTTCATTAAAGTGTTATTAATCAAACAAGACCATCTCAAAATAATGACATAAGGTTGTAAAATGGACCCAGTCTTTCACCAGCAGTTTTATCTTTGCCTACATTATCTCACATTTTCTTACAAGATTCCTAACAGGAATAATACTAGTGTATTATATATATATTAGTATATAGTATGTTAATATATATTATGTTAGTATATATTATAGTATATTAGTTTATATTATGTATATTACATATATAGTATATTGTATTTTTGTGTAGATATCTTTATGGTATTATGACAATGTATAGTATATATAGTAGGTCAGTATATATTATGTTAACATATTATGTGTTATAGATTGCCTTCTTAAAGTATTTGCTAACTATTTTCTTTTGACTGTTTTATAGGATTTTTTCCTGAAATTAATGATATGCTAACTCTCCTCCACTTACTTGAAGCATGCTAGGTATATTCTTTACACATGGTAGCCTGTTGACATCTTATAATTTTGAGGGATATATTTCAATGACAAAATTATTGTAAAAAGGAAATATGAAGAGTTAATTTTCCTGGGTGCAAATATTTAAAACTTTGAATTTAGTTGATGTTCCATGTTTCTTTTTTCTAGGTATCCAATAAAGTATTGTCCTTTCTTAATTTCCCTGTGATTATTAACATTTGTTTATATAATTATATAACAATTAGGCAACATTTTCATAGGCACAAGCAAGCTTATAAGGAAGTTCAGCCTCAAATGTTTTGTTGTTTTGATACACAACATTCTAACCTCATTCCCCAAGCTTCCCTTTGAAAAAACAAAATATTAACGTTATTTAAATATGTATGTCTTTTTCTGTTGCTTCACAGCTAGTTCCAGTGACCCTTGATTTTTGAGGTAAATGAAAAAAAATCCCCATTTTTTTTCAGTCAATAATATATTTAATTTATGGACAAGTAATTGCAAACTACTTCCTGATGGGGTTTTTGCTTCTTAGGACAGTTTCTCCTAAATTTAGGATGAAATGTCTATTAATCTAGGAAACCACTCCCTATAGAAGAATTCTGGGGAGAATATAGGCGATGAAGCAATAATCATTACTTTTAAGACCACTGTCTTTGAGAATCGTGTGGCAAAACCACTGGCAATCCAGCCCAGATCTCATACTGTATTTGTACTAGAGACATAAATATAAGGAATACAGGGATTGCCAGCATGCCTGTGTAGGAGTCCTACCTTAGAGCAACTCTGGAGTGAATAAATGAAGATCTTACCTTTTGTGAGACAAGATGAATGGCTTGCAGGCTGGAAGCTGGTTAGTATTATAAAACAGAATAAGCAACTTCCTTCTTACTGCTGCACAGAATTCCAGAGAAAATGTATAGATAGAAAACATACGGATGCCTTGAAAGCAGGCTGAAAATCCCAGCTGACACTGGCAGTCCCCCATTGAATGAACGTGAGTGTCTGTAGGAATGCACTGGTGCTTGTGGAATGCAGAACTAGTTTCCCTTCATCCCCCACCTCCCCAGCCAAATCTTCTGACACTCTTACCTTAGAGATTTCTGAGGAAGGACAAGACACACTGGTCCCAGGGTACTTTTATAGGGTCTGATCTGCATATGAAGCCACCACCTCCTCTTTCTTAGGTCAAAACATTTTTGGCAATCTTAACTCCTAGCAGAATTGCCATTCATATCAGAATTGAATGGATATAATTAGACATAACAGGTCTGTGAATCAATCTCCTATAAATAATTTGACAAGAGAGCCTGAGAAGGGGGGGAGGGGAAGCAGGAGGGTGTGCTAAAAGAGATGAAAGGGGCTACATTGGTACTATAATGCATTGGATGCTGACTTGACCAGAGGAAGTGAAAAACAAGAGCCAGTGTATTGTAATAGGAAACATGTAGGGATGGAGAGGTGAAGGCATAGGCTTCTTTATGATGCAGATACTCTTGAGTCTGCAATGTGGAAAAGCATCAGGGGTCCTACTGAGATGGAGATCATTGTTAGTAGAAGAAAATCCCAATGCAGGAGGAAGCATCTGAATAGAAACTGAAGTCACAGGAGTGAGAATCAAGGGATGATATGAATTACCAAGTAGTAAAATGGTCCAAAGGCAAAGCAAGAGCAGGGAGGAAGGATGAGACTGAAGGTAGTGATGAGGGAGGATATGTGACTGAGGAAGAGGAAGTAAATAGGGGTGTGATTCCAAGGGGATAACAGCAAGCCACCATGGACACAAGGACCAATAGAAGAGTAAAACGAGTTAAGTATAGAGTTGAAGATAGAACCCTCTAAGATTGAAGTGTTCAAGTTAGATCTCAGAGAGAAAGCATAGAAATCCAACTCCTGTTTCTGGGGCTGAAGGGCTTCAAAGATCATATGAACAGGCCTATGACACCGTTGTACTGAATTTAAGATATGTCTTCCACTGGTAGTAGGACAAATAGGTGCTGTTTCAACACAAGGGAGTCATTCAGCACTGCTTTTGCAGGATAGGTGTGCTAGATGGAGGGAAAGGATCAATAAATTTACATTCTCTAAAACAGTCTGGAAGAGAGGCAGTTATTAGAAGCTGAATCCCATGCTAGTTTGTGAAAAACAACCAATCAGCTGTACTGATCCCTGGGATGTTCCCCACCCAGATTAAGGCTGTAGATGTTCTGTAACAGCACAAGGAGGAGAATGATGAAGAGGGCAGTGGGACCCTATGCTTTATTGAGAAACAATTTATTTCCCATGAACAGATCTTGATTTTTTTTTTTTTTTTTTTTTTTTTTTGCCTTCACTTTCCAAATGACAGTTCCTATGACAAGCTAGGCAATCTGAACTGACTCGCAGCTTCTTCTGATCCCATAGCGTACTACGTCCTCACTGCACCTGTTGTGTTCCACTCCCTCTTAGCATCATCTACTCAGAGGTCTCTATAAGAAATTGAGGAAATTCCTTCCTCCTCTTCTCTCAGCTGACTGTGTCTCTGTGATGACACTGTAATCCTGGGGGTGGGGAGTGAATTGGCAAAGGTCAGCTTCACATTTGAAGTAAATTCACACTGAAGAATAAGTTTATGGTTTAACTCTAACAGCTAAATACTCACCTGGGTATAAAACAGCAATTCTTTTATTTTCTTTTATGTCAATTACATTGTCTGACAACTAGAATTCACTGTGAATTTTAGGTATTTCAATGACTGTGTGTTGTCTCATTTTGTTAGTGTATGCAGTTTTGACCTGGATTAAAGTTGGCTATAGAAATTTAAAAATAAAACCTCATGGTTTTCCCACAGTCATATGTAATACTGGCATAAAGCTGACAACTGGCTAAAAGCTTTTATTAGCAAGATTGTTTTCATATAGAAGAATAATCTTTTTAAGACTCACATAGAAGAATATTTTTTTAATACTCAAAAGGACTTAGGAGAAATAATTTTTCAGTCTTTTTCAAAATTATATTTAAATTGAAAATTTCCACAACCTGTAACATTTTGCTTGATCTGTTTTAATTTATATTTTTTCCTCTTGCTCTTGTTTGCTTTTATATTGCTAGTCAGTATAACAGAATACAATGTGACTACAGTTTTTCTTCTGTATGTTTGCTTGCTTTTGCTTTTTCCTTTTTGTCATTTCAAGAGCAAAATTTTCTTAATTTGGAAAAACTCAGTAGCTGTCAAAGAAAAACTGAACCTGTGACTTTCTGAATTAGAAAAACTTGGAAAAAAGTACAGACACATAAAGCCAGAGGTCAAGAAAATAATGTGTGTGTATCTGGACAATTAAGCCTACCTATTCTGCTACCTTTGGTAGTAAAAGAATAAACTCAAACTTAAAAAATATAAATTATGGCAGCTCATTAAAAAAATGCATTTTTTTCCTCCTCCAAAATATCAGGAAATCTTTTGCTTTAATACAACAGGGTTTTTTTCAGTCAAGCAGAAGAGAAACAGCCAAAAGTTTTCACAGCCTTTTACAAAAGACATTTTAACATTATTTTGCCAGCTATAATATCCTCTCAGTACCTCTCCTTCACTACCAAATCCACTACAACTCTCTCCCTACTACCTGCACAAGTACGGCCCTGCTACTGTATACATGCACTTCTCATTTGTTCAAGTCTTCCATCAACGACAACCCTTCACAGCAAACTAGAGGTAGACATGCTCTCATACCCATGAGCTGGGTGTCTGAGATGTTATCATTGATGGAGCTTGAGCTAACAGAGTCTAGAGAATGATTCAGTTGTCCTAATGTGGTTGCCTACCTTAGAGTGAACTGAAACATTCGCTTGACTGTAGTAGTGTCTACAGTGGGAGTTTAGTCACTCAGCTCACTCATCTACTTGTTTATTTAGACATGAAAATGACTAAATGTAGATATCTGAGTTTGGAATTGAATCTCACCCACACAAGTAACAAGCCCAAATCTAGTATTGCACATTTATCCATCACTGAAATTCCTCTCCTTGTTTCCAAATCCTGCTCATTTTTCCCCTTGATTCATTCTGAGTGTGTCCACACTGACAAGAGTTACTGAAGATAAAACTGCTGCACTGCTGCTGGAGAAAGGGGGCCCCCGTCCTCAAGAGCCAGCCAGGGCAGTGGCCACTGCCCCACAGGAGAGGGTGGCATGAGGCACTTGCCTGAGGCTTCCTGTCACTCCGCTGTGCTCAGCCACCAGTTGCCTGCCTCCCACTGCTCTCCTCCCGTGCCCTGCTTTTGTGGTACAGGAGCTGCATGTAGGTGAGCAGCTACAAGGGGAAATAAAACCAATCTCTTTACTGGTTCACAGCCAGAGGAGTGAGTTCATTAGCAGAACAGCTTGTTTACCTCCTGCCACCCTTTCTGAAATGTATCAAAACCTGTAATGTATTAATGAAGGTCTCTGATGAACCCTTAGAATAGCAGAGCATATATTAGAACACTTACAAATCCTGCCACGAGTGATGCTTCTTCTCAGTGCAGTTGGGTTGTGTTCAGTATTACCAGTGTCACCGGGAAAACAGGTGCTGCTCACACAAAGGGTGCCACAGTAACCCAAAGGGTCCAAGGGGGCACTAAAAGCACCAAAGATGCTCAGCTCTGGTGGATCCTGAACTACCATTTCTAAAATGGATGGAGTAGCGTCCCTTCCTAACTCCAGCTATCTTCTGCTGTCCAAATGTTATTTACGTGTTTTTATTAAGAACCCTTAGCATTTGAAGGCAGTGGTTTTTTACAGCACTTGAAGGCTGGCTGAAGGATTAGAAAAGATATCCAAAAAGGACACATGGAGGTCAGCTAGGGACTGACAATTCTGAAGGGGTGGCCAAAGATGTTTAGCACTTGCTTTAAATAAACAGCAAATTTGAGGTAGCTGCTAAAGCTTGTCACATATGCCAAAAATACCAACCAAGTCAATCTCACACTCTCTCTGTGGCTTGGCAAAAACAAATTTATTTAGCAGTAACAGGAGCTTCACTTCTAATTTACCAGAGCCCTTAGATATATTGAAGGTTATTTCCAAATCATCTGATTTACTTACCTATCTGTAAAGTGTGATCAGTAGTTAGATACCTTACACAACCAATGTTGTACTTTATCTTATCTTACATTTGCAATCAACATGCAAATGTTAAACATCTTGTTTGGCACAATGCAAACTATTATTTTGTGGGCTAATAATCTGTTCCTAGGAAAGTAAGCAGTCCCAGTATATTAAGAATGACAATAAACAGGCAAGGAAGTTAGTCTGTGGACAGAGGAAGGTGAGTGTAAGGGATGAGGAGAGGAGGGAAGAAAGAAGGCAGGAGAGTTTGTGGACCCGAGTAGGACCGCTAGTCCCAAGGCTTGACGTGGGCTCATGGGCTGAGTAAAAGGTTGTCTTGTTTTGCTTATAGAGGATCCTGGCACAGTGCAGCAGCCTCTTTTACCTGCTATGAGGGTAATGAATGCATCACCCCCTTCTCACCACCTGAGTTCTTGTGGATGGATGGAAGCCTATAACTTCTTACAGCATGTCATGTCTGGCCACAGTGCTGGCCATAGCTGTCAAGCTCTGGTAACAAGCATAGATTTCTTCCATCTGGTGTCAAGGTTTTGCCTTAATAATTCAGGGAAAAGGACTAAATTCTTTATCAACTTTCCAGATTGGAGGGTTCCCTGCCCTGGAGCTTGTTGTGTAGGCAGGAAGATAGTGATGGACCTGTGTGATAAGACAATGGCATTGCAGCCAACAGAGAGGACCAGCTTGTTTGGCTGACATATTCATCTAGAAGTGAATGATCAACAGCAACAGTCACTGCCATGTCACTCCTATGAGGAGGCAGTTATATCTTTGCTATGAATCTGGACACTGGTAAAACCACTTTTTTCCTGGGCCTGTTCTTGGATTACTCTGCAATAGACTTTGCTTGGACAGAAAGAGAGAATAAAGACTCCTAGAAAAGTAGGAGAAGGCTTGATTGATATTATAAATAGAGTAAATATACTGTGATGGCTAAACCAAATGACCACCAATTCTAGGACACCCTTCAGTCCTCTAAGGTCCTTGTGAAAGAAATGGCAATGCAGTGTGAAAAACAAATGAGA